CTCTACAAAAAATTTGGACTCGAAAGATTGCAATCTTGAATGAAAAATAGACCTTTGTTTGAGGTGTTTGTATAATTATGAATCGCTAAAAATTCGCGTTAGGCGCAAAAACATTTCTAATATTGACATCGATTTCCATTCTTATAAATCGTATACCGTTTTCGGCTGTGCTCTATCGCGTGGCACCCCAAAAAGTCCAAAATTTTCAAAATCTAAGGTGATATAAGGTGTTCGTACAATTGTGAACCGCACTTTATATATAGATTACACTTTAAGTCAAACTTTTGGACTTCGTAGAAGTGTTTAAACGCTTTAGACAATCCTGAAATTTTGAATGTGACGTGTCTGTGGCACCCCATCCACAAGTGGGAAAAACTCACATTGAAAAGGAAGTTGGCTACGTAAGTGGAGAATTTTACGCTTTTATGGAAAATTCGTCCACAAATGATTACGGTCACAAAGGCAGTGGACAGGCAGAATGGACCATTCTCGGATTTTGGTGGATTTAGGAAGTCCCCCTCCCCAAGTACACTGTAGCCCAAATCCCACCTGCGAATTCATACGCTAGTCCTGAAAAATGCACTTCAAATCTCCAGCAGCCCCAGCCCATTTCCATTGAGCGGGCGGTTCTGGTGGAGTTTTGAAGCGTTTATAGAAATTAGCGCATGAATTAGCAAGTGGGGTTTGGGCTACCGTGTACTTGGGGGGTCTGCTTCCTAAATCAGGGTCCATTCTGCTTGTCCACTGTCTTTGAGTGCATATGCGGCCACAGTCAGAATCGTAAGACCCAACAACGGTTTTGGTCTAGCCTTGGTTAGGAATGTCGCGTTGTCCAAATTCAACACAGCTGACTTTGAAAAAAAACCTTCTGCGGTTCCAACCTTCCATCGTAGCAGATGAGCACAAAAGCAAAGCTAGGAGCTTCTGTCTGGATACTGTTCCGTAAAAACCTGATGTAATGTTTTCAATCTGTGACGTTGATTTCAGGCTTCTAGTAAGCTTTTCGACAAATGCACATTCCTACGAATGCTCATGAATCGACCTCAGTAAGAATATTGCTGCGTTGGCACTGCCAATATCAGTAACACATAATTTACGGTTCTTTTACTCCTGCGCCACTGATGATCGTAATCTAGTAATTAGTCCGCATCCGTAAATAGCGAGTCTAGAATTCCCTTTATTGTTTTCACGACATAGATTACATTGCGTGTTTGCTTATCAGATACCTGTCCATCAGAACAACAATTTCGTTCATTTTTTGTAGCGAACACTAATGTGGTGGGACCAGTTATTTTTGCTTTTATGGAGTATGCAGACGTAGTGTACTATATTCTAGTCTCTTATAAGAAACTTTCATTATAGTCGTCTAATTTGAAGCATTTGGCTGTCTAATAATCTAACTTTGAAGTAATTACAAGATACAAAATAACGTCAGCTTCAAATGTGAGTCGTCTAGCCATACCAAAAGTATTTCGTCGGGCAAATGAAACTCTAAGTGGGTTAATTCTCATACCTTGATAAATCCTCCATCTTTATACTGCCCCTGTCTTGCTTGCTCACTGACATTATGACAATTATTCACCTGGCTTCGGCTTTAAATTCTGATTTGATTGAAACTCTACCTTGGTTAACGCATTTACAGCGAATTTACTGAATTTGCTGCGAAGGCGAGCGTGCAACTACTCTAAGTAAGTGCTTGTAATTCTATGCGTTCTCTAACTTTTCATCCCGCACATTTAATAGTACAAAAACAACTAGTATATTTCATATTTCGATATCACGACCACGCTACTGCGAGAGCTTTGAGAATTCCATGGATTCATTTGCTAAACAGACAAACTCACAACATTGTGTCTATCAAGTGCATTTTTCCTGCTCGCCCAGACAACCGCCAAAGTACAAGCTTAAACTTCTTATTTTATTTAAATTCAGCTGATTTTCGGTTTTATCATACAACCCTAAGACTTGCAAATGAACCAAATTTTCTCAAAGCAATTGGCTTTTTTGCGCCTTTTCTGGCATTTTGGCTTTCACGGAAGATTTTATTGATGTGAGAAAACAAATCAAACCACAAGAAACTCTATAAGTATTAGGTTTATGAATTGGCTGCAATGGCCATGACGCACCGCCTTAATTACTCCACAGTGATGATTGCAATCCAAACGCTCAGATATTCAAGGATATTTGCTGCTCGTCTAACAATAAGTCAACGCAAGTTTCATGCAATAATAATCAAGTGCCAGCTGTCACTCGTACCCTTTTACTAATTAACTGTAGTGCATTGTTCGTACAGCTGAAAGTAAAAGGTAATCAGAAACTTCTCAATAATTCCTTACCATGGAAGTATACCTAGACTATCGGCTGCGATGTTCAATCCGTTTGTAGTCTTTTGTTCTATGCTTAGCATACACAAACCTAGTCTAGCTTTGTACATTCAAAATATATTGCATGAACAAGTTTAGAATCTTGAATAGCTTTAAGGAAACGCGAAACCGTATTAGAGTCAGGGCGTGAAATTTGAAATGAAGCTATTATTATCATCAGTAACATTTGTTGTTACTATTGAAACTCATTGTTAAAACTGATTCAAAATCAACGAATCCAACACGGCTGAGAGCTATTAGACTGTGATATAGTCCATGATCCAAGCTTCCATCTCAATTTATATGGTAAATTTCACAGTTCTGTGTGTAAATCATGTTTGCAAAGCTTTTAAGTTTTGCTACGAACTGCGTCAGCTGGTTATTCAAAGGCATACGTATTTTAAAGAGTTAAAGGTCTTGAAAAATCTTTTGTTTTTTCCAAGTAAAGGCCACACAAAAGCGTATAGGCTCTCTAAAGTACTTTTAGCAGATTATATTTGTCTCTGAAGTCTAGAATTCGTGCATTCAGAGTTCCGATTCACTCTGTGTAATGCTAGCTCTTTAGGCATCTTTCATTTTGTGACCAGGGTTGAGCAAGAGGCAGGCACAAATCCTTCAAAAACGACCCCCCTCCCTATGGAAGCCCTTAAACGACCCTCCGCTTCACCTTCAGTTCTTAGGGTGTTATATTCTGAAGAAGACTAGCCTTCATTGCAAGTTTCTATTTTTTGGAAGTCTGTAGGCCCGACTTTCTGCGACTGCACAACCACACGCAACTTGACGGCAAGTTTTAAATCTGGATAGTCCTCTTTTCAGAGCTATAATTTTCACAGGGGTGGAATGTTTGGCTTCAAATTTTCAATGTAGCAAGAAGAGGCTTTGGGCACAATACTCAAGGGGCGATTTTTGAATGTTGAAGGCAAGTTAAGAGGGTCAGGCGCAACCCCTTAAAAGCTCAGGCGGCCTGACCTTTTGAGGGGTTGCGTCTGACCCCATTGATTTTATTTTCGAAAAAGCTTTTCTATCCAAGTTTTATGTGATTCGCTAGCTCAATTCTCGAAGACTCCACATTAAGTGTTTGAGCTTGATTCGACTTGTTTCGGCCTTGTGCTAATCCGAGAAGTTGAAGCACTCAACGTGAAAAACGCACCGATTGGAAATTTGGCAGCACTTCTTACTTCACTGTTTGGAAGCTATATGAAGTCCGATTTGTAGCATAGACTTGTAGAGAACATTACTTTGTTGTGTGTATACAAAAGCTGACTTTTCTCACTTCTGAAACCAAGTTGATCACGTTTGAAAATCACGCTTTTTAGGCTTGAGAAACTCTAAAAACTGCAGTAGGTAATGGTTTGTAGAATGCATAGAGGTAATTTGACATGCTGATTATGGAAATGTTACCCATTTCACACAGCAAGCTTCCTTGTCGACCTCATATGTCAAGGTAAAAGAGAAGAAGATTTGGATTTTGGCAAACTTCCATTGTGGAAACAATCAGTATGCTGTTTATGACCGTCATTCCTTCATGTGATCGCGATATCCAGCGGACTAGCGCATTTCTTCTTCACCTTCACAGTATCTCCCAATTAATTGGATTCTTAATTACGACCCCCCCCCCCCCTCAGTCTTAACCTCAATACGATCCCCCAGGTCGGGCGCGCCTGACCTCATGCTCAACCCTGTTTGTGACTCCAGGCTGTAAATATCCTTGTTGAATGAATCACAAGTAGAAAATTGTTAACCAGATGTGACGCTTGTTTTCAACGTGTGCAAAGCGATCTCCAGTTTCTTATTAGTAACATAATATATGATAGTCAAAATGACCTGTTTGGCTGTCAAGCTCGAAAATGGCGAAAGGAGGCAATATGTCAATCCTGGCAAGGTGTATATACAGACAAATAAGTACCAACTGTGCTATCTGCCCTGCCTTTACGAGAATTCTGTAAGATATCTAATCACAGACGGGCACATGCTTTTTTCAAAGAAGGCTGTTTTTATGATTCAAGGCTTTTGCGTCATTCTCCAAGCAACGCCCAGACAATACTGTGCGTAGTTCCAAGTTCGTCTAACTTGTGCAGAGGCTAGCACGGAAATCATCTGAACATGGAGACATCAACAAGTACATACAACCCAACTTTAGGAAGTAACTTCTTGTGATCAAAAGGCACCACGGCGTAATAGGATTTTGATGAGTACCGCGAATCAACAAAGATGTTATGTGGAAGAGGAAAGGCGGCAGTAACCAGACAAAAACAACGATTGGCGTTGTTAATCGCTGCTTTTTCTTTGAATTTTGAACAATTCTTGATGTTTAAGCTGTTTCTAACAATAAGTGTCGCGTTATCCATTTCTTCATATGTCCAAGCCTAAAAATTTGATTCATAACATTGACCCAAATGTGACCATAAAGGCATGCACTGATTGTGCAAATTAGTTCTATAATTGGGGCAGAAATGCTCGCGTCGCAACTTACTACGTTGATTCATTTCGTTTCTTTTTTTATAAATGAGGTCTCTGTAGTGGAGGCTAGAGTTTCGCCGTTGGTGACTAGCCTGATTCGGGACAACATGAGTAATCGTTCTGAACTTGTTTACTGCTAACGTTGCATTTTGTTAATTTCAGAATTTGTCAACCAAGATGTCCGGCTCTCCACGACTACTCGATGATAACTATTGCAATGAGGTTTGCTTTTTTGTAATAATATATTTCAATTGTGCATGATTCCATGCAATTTCAAAATAAGCAAAATTCAGCATGCTGTTCCTATCGTGACAACCGGGTATTACCGCTTTTCGCTTTCACTATCTTTATTCATATCCACGGTGTCGTTACTAAACCTCCTGCGTTTCTTTTATACTCACTACAAAAAGTTTTATTTCCACCAGAATATAAAGGTAAAACTAAAACTCAAATGCAATATGGGTAACTGTAACTAATGGCGATTTTTAGATACTTTTGATTACCCTATTCCTCTGTTGTTTTTTATACGATTGTTTTAACGTCATCATAAAGGTAAGTTTCTTGAGTTAATGAAGTTGCTAGCATCAAAATCCCTAGACCGCTTTTTGCATTTTCTCTAATTAGTTATGTAACAAAACTTTCTCTTAGCATTGCTTGAGCTTGTCAGTGAGCATCTTACAGATACACCATATCGTGTTATCGTGCGCATACACGACACCTTGCGATTTATATTTGTCCACAGCAACTTACATCACCGAGCACATTCCTATCGTTTTCGTTTCGTTCTGTATTCAGTTCGTACAATTTGCGATTGTTCTCGAGCGAACTATTGCCACAATCTGTGTGCGGAATTATGAGCGCGGGTATACAAGCCTAGTTCCAGCGTTGTTGCTGATCACGGTACGTCGAGGATTGGTTTTATAATGATATAAAACATACTGTGTAGGCTATCCTTAGTATGGGAATGCTCATGCTACTGTATTACAAAGAAAGCTTCGATGGCCCATTTTTGAATGCTCGAATGCTTCCGCCAAGCACTGCTGCTCTTGGAAATATTGCTCTGATACTTTTGATTCTTTTGAATCTTACAGCGCTTATCTGTGCCGTCGCCTTACACTACGTAAATAAACGCAAACGCATAAGGTAGACACTTATTCTGAAGAAATTATCATTGTGTAGCGTGCACACCTCTTTGTTGCAGAGACACGCTTTCGTCAAAATTTCAACTAATGGAAAATCGCATAACTGCAGACTTGCTTTTCTGGGGCGCAAGCATACAGTTTATTAGTTGTGTTCTAAACGACATTGCCGTATTAATGGTGCGCTTATATCTGTCGAAAAGTCAATATGCTATGGCATTCAAGGAAAACGTAGATGTAAGTTGCTCTGAACCTGCATTTTCTCATCCCGTAACATCGATAGAACCATTTGGATCGTATGAAGCATCAAATTCTCGGCACATAGCGGAACGGAAATAGCACACTCATCATCTAAATTGAGTTTCCTCTCAATCTACATTGCTTACAACGTGATGGTTCCCTAACAAAAATTCGCCACTTCGCTACGTAAAGCCAAAATATCATCAATATAATAATAAGCCCAAAACATTTCTTTCTTGAAACGGTTCGAGAATCATGACTTATAATAACGGGCTAAGGATGTTTACGTGACTTTGTGTGTGTGTCTGTAACGAAATTCGTGGAGCGTGTTCCAGCTAGCGTTCTAAGCCCAAATTTTGTATACCGCATGCTACCTTCATGAAAGTCCAACATGCAAAAGCACGAGTAGATTCGTTGAGTGGATCCCTCAGAAATTGCCCGCCAAACGGTCCACCTGGCTTCTGTACCGCAAAATTCGGTCCGTATCGCCACTTTTTGCAGAGTCGTGGATGAGTTTGGTAAGCAAATTGCAAGTGATGGAGTTTAGCCAGAAATGTGGTCGAAAGTTTACTACATAATGAAAACGGCGCCAAAACGAATTGGTTGTGTAAATGGTCAATTTAGCAAGGTTCTAGCTAAGCGTTTGAGAAGGTTTTCGCAAGAGATGTACCTCGCGGTTACTATTACCTTTATGGCGACTACCAAGCCATGAAAAATCCAAAAAATCCGAACCTCTGCGAAGCAGAGGTGACGCACTGGTAGATATGATATGGCCCTTGTGATTTAGGCGGTGCACGATATTCAAGTTAAATATATATGTAATATCTGTAAAACCTTGTTATTACTTGTATTAATTAAGTAGTGCGCCTGCGCTCCTTCTCAACTCTAATTTTGGAGATGAAATTCTGACCGAGAGTGCCAGATGCTGCTTATCGCCCTGTCATGCTAATTGAGGTGCATCATTTTTTGAGAGAGAGAGAGAGAATTTGCCGATCTGAGTTTGGCCGAGTGAAAACGAGAGAGATATCGTCTTTGTTCGTTTGATTAATATCGAAAAGCTAAATTTTTTTTGTTTGAACTGGTTGTATAGTATAGCTTTCGCAGAGGACTGGTTTGAATACTCCACACCCACTAGCCCCACAAATTTTTTTGCTGCTTAGCGTTTCCCTCTTCCGCCTTCCTTAAACAAAATTACCAACCTCCATTCCCACATTCGGATATATATACCCTCTCTCCACTCTCTTTCACCTCTTCCTGATCATCTCTGTGGATATTCTTGCACTCATCATTGCCTTACCGTTTCATGCTCGCAAGCGCGGATTTCAAAAATCTGCTTCAAAGTAAAGAAGGCTTGCCCAACGAACAGGCCATGATGTGGTCATTTTGTATGCAGATAGGTAATGGAGCGCTGCTGCAAGGAAGCGTAATCAAACAGTTTTGTGTAAAATAAGGAAATGACGGATTTTTCCCAAGTCAGGTGCTTAGAACGACTTGGCGAGCCACCTGATGTGGTTCAGCTGGCATAGTTTTTTCTTTCCTAGCGTAGTTTTCCGATCTTTTCTGCAGAGCTTTTTCTACACCCTGATTACTATAAAGTTAACTTTGCACCGCAGCAAATCTCCTTCTCTTCGCATAGATAACGACTATATTAATAGCTATTATTGAGCTAGCTTCATTCTAGATTTAAGTACAAAAAAACAAAATCTTTCAATTGGGCACGTCCTCTACAGTACCTTACATTGAAATCTTCTGGGATAGATTTGCGTTATTGAGAACTACGCCAAAGATTGTCTGGAATTTTGAACTTCGGCATTACACTTTACAACTTCTAATTGATAAGCTACGACAGGTATAACTGATTAGCAACATTGGCGATGATCACCAAAAACACGATCATACCATCAACTGCTTTGCATTGCAAAATCTTGAATGTCGATCAGCATTCCTAAAAACCCCGAATACCAAATGACTGATTTGAGGGCCGCCATCTGCTGAATTTCTATCCTGATTTTGCAAAGTGAAGGAAGATGGCTTTTTTTTCAATGTAAATCTATTGATGCTTTACAAAGAAGCCAGTACAATATGGAACCTAAAATTGACTTAAAGGTTCCTACACAGAGGAGTTGTTGACGACCACAGTCGCTGGACTTTTGGAACCTCCTGTATAACCGAGCAGAAATCATAAACATAGAAGTAATCATGAATTTCAGTAATGCGGGAAGGGCTTGGCATGATTAATCAGTTTTGAGATTTTTGATTTGATACTGACTCTGGAAGATTTTTGTTGTAAATTGACATCAAAGTCTGGTTACTAGCGATTCTCTTACGGGAAGGATACATAGTCATACTGACGTCCAACAAAGGAATGAACATCATTATAATTTTTTCGAGACATTTATGGCATATCCGTCCCAAATCTGCGAAACTTCTATAGAAGTTGCGACCCCCTTTTTTCAGGTTTTCTCTGCGAGCCGTACTGAATACGATTAATAATTTTCATTAATAGAAACGCTAATTTTGTGCTATTCGGAGAGCATTCGGAGTTCAGCTATCAGTCGGGTACAAAACTGTGGGTACCCATCGCTTTTGCGTTCTATCAACAAAGTCTCGAAGGAAACATAATGATGAGCATCTCATTGTTAGAATCCAGTGCGATTTCGTATCCTTTACTCGTTAGTAAGCACTGCCATTTGATATAAGAAAGATTACAAATAACGTTTTATATACCAAAGCAATGCCAAATGGAATAATATGTACCTTAGCTCGTCAATATCTACACCTTCATTCTACCAGTACTTACCACAATCTATCTAAAGAAAGTGAAGCAACGGCGATTAAGAGATATCAAGAAGAATCTTGGTGTAAGTTACTTATTCATTGAATTTTGCATTTCTTAGCTAATCAACTTTCAGATCAAAGCAACTGGGTATGAGGGCTGGCAGAATTATTCTGCTTATACTCAGCAGCAGTGGAAGTAACTTTAATATTTTGATGTGCTTCGTTGTTAATTTATTGATTAGGAACTTGAGATCTTTGATTTGGGAAGTTGTTTTGCTTGCAAGCTGTAGATAACTTTTTCCTCGTCGTTGAAGAACATTTAAGCCATCGTTCTAACACATTTCTTGTTCACTCGATCTCTGAATCGTTTTGTGTCGGGTAGGTCACAAACACATTACCTCTTCTTTTCTTCTTTTCTACACGTCGCTTTTATCCCGTTGCAAATACAATTTTGGCGATACAGCATGCCTTCTAAACAAGTGCATTTTTTTGGTACTTGTGTACACAAGTATTTACCAGGTTGGCTAAAAAATAATTTGGTTTTAGGATGGGAATCTTCACAGAATTTATCCTAGTTGTTCTTTCAATTATGATTTTTTTGTATAAGTAGCTAATAAGTAGCTCAAAGCTTCTTCTATCACATATCAACTTAGCAGATTTTCAAATTATTAGTGAGGGACAGTTATGCTCCAACTGCTGCAGTTCCAAAAGCTCGATTCTGCGGCTTTCTAGACCCTTTTTATGCTTTAATGGATGCAAAGAATAGCAACTGGTGTTTGGATACAGGCAAGTTTTTCCTAATTAGCAACTATCAATAAATATTGTGATCCGCACTTCCAAATTCTTTGCGCACAATGAGAAATTTGGAAGATTCTCATTTCTTTGAGGATTTCTTTTGCTGCAAAATAAATCCTACTCAAACAAATTTATGTTTCAAATCTTATTGTAGTGCTCTTTCCAGAGGTACCGAACAACGTTCAAAAAATGTCTGCAGAATCTTCAGGGGCAGGAAAACCAACCGAAATTATTTATTAGCTAACCTAATATTTTGCTGCTTCAACCGTTGCCGGTGCTGCCACACTATCCTCAGTTCACTTTTCTCTTCCCTTGCACCCTTTAGTGAAAGTGAACGCCGATTAATGTTAGTAAAGTCATAAGATTTCTACACGTGGAGTGAGACCAGTCATCGAACATGCAGGTTTAATAAGTATTTGTTAAAATTCGCTAGCACAATCAACCGTGTACTCCAAGTGATCGCAGATGAAACTCTTTTTCGTTGGCTTTCACCTGTCTTCCGCAAGCTCATAGAATGCATACAGCCGGGCCCAGCAGGAGATGGCATATGAGAAATTGACAAAGTCTCCTCGAAGTTGAAGAAATCACGAGTTACCTCTTGTAGTGTTTCTAATAGTTCTTCTGATAATTTGCAACAAAAAATGTGGATTGAAATGAAGAAAAGACAAGAACAAATTGAAGATTAAAAACGTAATGCAAAAAATGCTGTTTTTATATCATCAAGAGCTGTAACAAAGCATAGGGAACGAACTTTGGTCAAGGGGAGTACTCATAAGCAAAGCTTGATCTAAAGAATAGGATTTATGTGAAAAAAAATTGGAAATTCATGTGCGGAAAAGGATTGTGAAGATAGAGCAATAAATAAAAAAAAACACTTATAGGCTACTCATGACGAAGGCGCAACATCTTTGGGCGCGAACGCGGCTTTATTAGCCGCAGAGCGCATAAAGCGCAGGAGTTACAACGGTAAAGATACGCACGCGTCGCGTTCGCGCCCGCCCAACCAGTACTGCTTCTGCGCCTTCGCCATGCAGTAGTCTTTACAGCTCCTCTTGCTACATAAGTTTTTCACAAATTTCATTTCGTTTCTTCAGATCATTGCCACGGATGTACACACCAATTTGGTGGTTCAGTATGGTTTATTCGCTGTAAGCACACCAATTATTTACATTTTTATAAGAAAAGACTGTGTTTTGCACGTCGAAATCGTGTGCACACAGACTGAGGCATTTGTCGTGTTTATAACATGTTGAACCTGTAAATGGTAATTTACGTTAGACCTTTAAATTCTGGTTTCCTTAATAGGAAAGGATACCAACATTATCTGACAAACTAAAAAGAGATTGTTGGACGGAAAGGATCACCGATCTAGCAGTATTCGGTGAAGGAAAAAGGACCATTTTGACCTCGCAGCGGGGTATAGAGGTGGAAGAAGGGGAGCCGGGAGCAGAAGAGGCTCACGGGAGTAGAAGCGAGCTGGTCAGAAGAGAGCCAGACCTCCTCTCAAGCATCGACCGAGTAGAATCCAAGTGCTAACCGAGGCTTACCCTGCTGGAGGGTCAAATCGGAGGATTTCCTGCGTAGCCAAGTTACAGTTCGTCGTTCTTGTTTATTGTTGGCCCAAGAGCCGTGTTATCGTTTCTGTAATCAAACACAGTTTTCTCTCCGTGTGCTGGTCTTTCAGTCATAAGGTTGAAACCAATCTGTACCACTAGACACACCCTCAGTTACAGTATGTACATCAGTAAACGCGTCTCTAAACGCTGATTCCAGATCTGCTTTCCGTTACTGCGGAGCACCTCTTCAAAAGAAATTATGAGCGTTTGAAAGTCTAAATTCGTCATGCTGTAAGTGGCATAAAACTTGCGAACAACTGTACAAAACATGTGTGCTTGAATGCTGATTTCCACTGCCTGTATTCTTTCCTTGTAGTCAGTAATTTAATGATTGATTTCCGACATTCAGGCGCTATACAGTTTTCGCTAATTTTACACTTGAAACCTGAGAAGCTTGGACTTTCAAACGCTCATAACTTCCTTCCAAGTGTTGTTCCGCTAAAAACGAAAAACTGGTCTGGAATCAGCGTTTGAAGACGCGTCTACTGGTGCACGTCTCTTTTTGTTTTGTCAGATAATGCTGATATCCTTGTTACAGAAATGATTTCTAATATTTTGTCAGGTTTCCGGGTGGAAACATTACAAGTTCCTTTTGCTTTCTGCCCAAAAGATGACATACTGCATGTGGAAGCGCCACTTTTGCTGAGCCTTGGCATGCAAGTGAATCTCATCTCTTATCAACACTATGTCATTGATGGATACTTTTCGGAAATTACAAAATTTTTACATAGCAACTCAGACAATTGCATCGGAAAGTTCGCGGCCTCAAAGCGTGTTATACGGCGTGCCGCGGCCCTAAAAATTTCAGCCGCGCACGCCGCGGCCCATATAAATTTTACCGGGAACGCCGCGGCCAAAGTTGAAATCGGGAAGAGATTATCGGGAAACTCGCGGCCCAATCACCTCATTTGGCCGCCGCGGGCCTTATCAAAGGCCGCACTTCTTACACGCTGTAGGTTGAGGGCAACCCGCGTGAGGTACGCCGCAGCGATGGGGCCACCCCAAATATTTGTGAGGTTGGGTACTTGCTTTCTAGGTTTGGCCCTGTGTGGCAGTTGAGTTTTTATGCTTACGAAACAAACGTCAACAGTCGGATAAGTAACATCGACCACACGATTATGTCGACAGATGAGCTAACAAGTCGCTCAATTTGCATTTTAGTCGCTGTAACGAAAGACAGTCTAAAAGATTACTTACCTTTTTGCAGACCCCACAAGCATGCCCGATTAGCGACCCTGTAAGCGCCCGATGCATCGTCAACCATCGGGCGCTTACAGTCTGCCCCAATCCTAACCAGGCCAAAATTGGCATGGCGGGAGTCCGCGTCGCTAGGGTTTTGCGGTCACGCCCACGGCCTGCTTCTCTGCTCTCTTTCCGATCCTTTTGCTCTCCCCGACAGCGCGCATATGCAGCGCAAACGCTTGGTGCTGCGAGCGCGCAAATCTACGCCGACGGTTCGGCCTGATCCCAATTGGAGCAGACTGTACAGAATGCGCCGCGGCCACTCATCGGGTTCAATATCGGTCTATACCGGGCAGCTCGCGGCATGGATGATTGGTGGCCGAGCAAGCACCGGCGAACTTCCCCGATGCAGTTGTCTGAGAAGAGGTAGTTCCAAATTGAGAAAAGGATAAAGGAGAAATTTTGTCGACATCATCTATTTTTATTTATTGAAGCTTTTGACAAGGTTAAACACCAAAAACTTCTTCTTAAGCTTGAAAGTTGTGAAATCAGAGTTCTCTACTGTCTTGGCTGACATCTCATCTCCAAGGCAGAGGGGAGACGATCCGCGTAGGTAATAGCTATTCAGATTGCTACCATGCTAGATGTGGAGTGCCACAAGGAGGGACTTTTGTTTTTTTTGATCTATGCGACGGAACTTCCAATGTTTTTGCAAACTGATCCTGATGTAAAAGTGCAGATGTTTGCTGATGACATTAAAATATGTTTTTGTTGCAGAAGTGCTCAGCAAGACGAAGCTTTTGAAGCTCTGTCGACCACATTACATCGAATGCCATTGTGGTCTAAAGAGTGAAATATTCCTATAGGTACTTTAAAGAAGACAGTAATTCATCTTGGCATTTTCCTCGCGGTCTACAATTGCAATGATATCGATCTCGAAGCATCTGTTTTTGTTAGAGATCTTGGTGTTCTAATTGATAACTCACTGAAATTTTCAGTCTGGACTTCGTCATCAAAACGTCATCATCACTGCACTTCAAGATCTTACTTACTTAGTTACCTAGTTGGCCCGTCCTCACGTGTCGTGCGGGCCGCAGCACAGCTTCCATCCGTTCCTATCCCTCGCAAGCGTCAACCACGATTTTCGTATCGGTCGTTGATGGCGAAGATCACGAGATCTAGGTGTAAAATTCGCTTCCAGCTGGTTTTTCAGCTGGTCCATCCTTTCCACGAACACATCTGCCCACCTGGTGGGGGGTCTTCCTCGAGGGCGTTTTACATCGCGAGGGATCCATTTCAGCGTTCTTAACGTCCATCTGTCGTCTGTTCTTCTTGCAATGTGACCGGCCCATCGGTACTTTACCTTCGAAACATACTCGACTGGGTCTCGTAGACGGGACATACTTCTTAAATCAGAACTGCGAAGTCCGGCAAGATGTTGCGTACGTCGGTTAAACTTCAGAAGACTCCGCTCCATTGCTCTGTGGGTGGTACGAAGAGCTTTCGACGTGGCAGCAGTGTCAGCCCACGTCTCGGCTGCGTAGCAAAGCGCTGGGAGAACGGTTGAATCGAACAGATGAGCTGGAGCGCAGGGTCCGTTAGTTGGT